GGACTAGGAAGTACCTATGTGACATTAACGGGCATTGCACTTCAGAAAAATACTAAAAGAAGGCAAGTAGAGATAAAGTGGCATAGATAGAATTCAGGCAGAATTTTCATATAATGGTGTCCTATTTGACTTTTAATATAAATGTAAAAGTTTCAGGCCAGGTGTGATGGCTCATGCCTGTAATCCCAGCACTATGGGAGGCCGAGGCTGGCGGATCATGGGGTCAGGGATTTGAGACCAGCCTGGCTAACATGGTGAAACCCCTTCTCTACTAAAGATACAAAAAATTAGCCAGGTGTGGTGGCAGGCACCTGCAATCCCAGTTACTCCGGAGACTGAGGCAGAAGAATCCCCTGAACCCGAGAGGTGGAGTTTGCAGTTAGCTGAGGTCTCACCACTGCACTCCAGCCTGGGCAACAGGGCGAGACTCTGTCTCAAATATTAAAAAATTAAAAAAAAAAAAAAAAAGTTTCTCTAGCTCTCCTGCCATGCAAGGGCTCCATCAGTCAACAGAGATTCACTGAGAAAAACAGCACAGACCTGAAGGATACTTCCAACCAGATTCCACCAGCTCTGTGCTTAGTAAGAAAAGAAACGGGAAGACACTCCTTAAGTGTGAAAGTTGGTGATGTGTGTAAATAGTCTTGGGAAGACTCAGAACGATAGATGGTTATGAACTAGCTCAGTTCAGCAATTCCAACTCCAATCCCCTAGGGTTGTTTCAACATCTGATGCTGCTCTCATTCTCTCCACCCAACTCCACCCTCCCAACCTTCCAAGGCTCTTGAGAGGAAGCTATGTCTCTGTTCAGGAGGTGGGTGTTTAAACTGTGAGCCTTCCCTGGGAGCCCAAAATGGGGCAAAAAAACAGCACCTGCCTCTCAAAGTTCATTTTTCTCTAAAAAATTTTTGCCAAGCCCTTTTGTAATAACCCTCTAAGCACTGTGGTCTCTTTCAGCTGCTTCACACCATCTTCAGTCACTTTAAGTGAGGAAGTAGAGCCTTCCCGTACATTTGAGCTTCTCCAAAATCTGTCATCTAATGAGACTTAAAGTACATCTCCTCATCTTATTTATTGGGTGCAGGATCCCAAAAATCTCTAACAAGAGAGACAGACTCAATGAGAAAGAACTGGACAGGGAAATCGGCTGTAACTACAGACAGACGCACACCTACACCCACACCACCTGCATACTCCTCTTTCAACTTTTAAGTCAGAAAGAAGGTCTGATTTCTTGGAACCACATCTGGTACAGAATCATGGAAATGTTGGAAACTAACAGTTTTCCGAAACTATAATGGAAGACTTCAAAAAGGTTGGGGAGTTTAGAATAGAGCTTACAAACTCAAGTTACACTTCTCAACCTTTGTTTAGGAAGCTACTGTGGCATGCTAGGTACAACTGAAATGGATAGCGTCTCCCAAGAAGCCTCAGTCCCTAAAGGTGTCCGACTTCAACTTGAATACCACCAATAGCCGATCGCAGTGGCTCACACCTATAATCCCAGCACTTTGAAGGCCGAGACAGGTGGATCACCTGACGTCAGCAATTTGAGACCAGCCTGGTCAACATGGTGAAACCCCATCTCTACTAAAAATAGAAAAATTAGCTCGGTGTGGTGGTGAGTGCCTGTAATCCCAGCTACCTGGGAGGCTGAGGTAGGAGAATCGATTGAACCGGTGGCAGTGGGGGGGGGGGGCGGGGAGGGGGCTGCAGTGAGCCGAGATCATGCCATTGTACTCTAGCCTGAGTAACAAGAGCAAAACTCTTGTCTCGAAAAAAAAAGAAAACCACCGATAGAAAGCCGTTTAAACACTGTTCATGGTTTGACTATGCAAAGCCTGTGTTGGAGTCATTTCACGGATGTCTTACTTTCCCCTACCCTAGCTTGTGGGTGATTTGAAGACAAAGGCTTTTCTGTAACCAGCCATGTTACTCACTACCTGGGCAAGTATTTGGCACTACAAATGTACCTCACCTGTTTCACACCCTCTGGCATTTTCCATGATGCAAGGCAGTTTTCCAATTAATACTGATATCATACTTTACAGTCTACAAAATGTTTTTATGATCATATTCCCATTAGGTCCTTAAAACCTCATTGTGAGAGAGAGACATGCGTAATCACTATTTTCCAGCTGGAGAAGCAGAGGTTGACTCACCTAATTAAACGACAGAGCAGGGAGTTGAACTCACGGCCCAACCGTCCCTATTTGGTGTGGAACGCACCTCACTGCCTTCCACAAAAACCTTTTCTTCGTAGGCTAGGCAGCCTCTGGAGGAAAGCAATGGAATGCAATTATTTCCTTGGAAAATGTAAATAAAATCTTTAGTGTCCAAAATTAAGGCACACCATGTGATGTGAACATGGTGTAACATTTAAATGTGTTCCTGTGCTACAGACCTTGACCCTTATCCTGCCCAGCAAGGTGGTGGAGCTGGGAGTCCCTTCTCCCTCCGGGCCTCAGTTTCCCCTCTGTGGAATTCCAGAGTCTAAATTCGATGGGGCAGAGCTCTTCCACTCCCTCGCAGCAGCAAGCGGTTCCGCCCCCACCCCTACCCCATGCCCACCCCCACCCCACCCCCACGCCACCCCTGCCTCTGCGGTGAATCCAAAGCAGGTCGCCTAACCGAGGCCCAGCGAGAGTTCGGAGGGGCACACCTCCCCAGTCCGCCCGGCCTCCCCAGAGTCGTTGCTAAGGCTTTGGGCCGCTTGCCAGGGAGACGCCGGGCTCGCCGGAGGTGGGGCGCCGGGGCCAGCGTCTCGAAAGGCCCAGGGCGGAGGCCGGCAACCTGGGAGAAGAACTGCCTGCCCCGCGACATTCCAGGCGAGTTCCCACGGCCGCGGAGGTCAGCGCGGCGCCTGTGCGGACAGCGCATGCGCGGGGCGGGGCGGGCCAGACCACTAGCTCCTCCCTCCCCGCCCGCCCGGGGAGGAAACTGCGAGAGCGCCTAATTAACGCCGCTCAAGGACACCGGGGATTAGCGCAGGCTTTACACGCAGACCGTGCAGTCGAGAGGCGCGTGGGATGATCCTTGAGTCTAGATTCCTAGAGCAGCGGTTCTGGGTGCTTGGGGACATTCCAGATTCGTGGGTCCTGTCCCCAGCAGCCTGGGTGAGACCCGGAATCTGCATTCCCAAGTCTCCCTAGGTAATTCTGAGATAAGCGGCCCTCCTAGGCTGGACCCACCCTCTTGTTGCAGAGAAATGACCGGCCCACGGGCTTACAGAATAAGGCGACGGAGCTGGAGAAGAACCCCAATCTCCCGACTTGCCCTCCAACACGTGCCCTACTGCTCTCTCCCCTCCTCATTTCCAAGGCATGGTTTAATCAATCCCAGGCAGGCTGGCAGGCAGTTCATTCCCATTGGTTGGGCTAACTGAAGACTAAAAGTCCCTTTCCGAGAACACCAAAGAACCCCATCCAGCAGCCCCACATCAAAGCTCCACTCTCAGCTCAGACCCTTGGCCAGTACTGCCTCAATCTGCGTGGGATGTGGGGCACCCTGGAGAAAGCTATCCCCACCCCCCAAGCAAAACAATGGCCTATTTGGGTGTACACACACCCCACACTCACAGTCTTCTCAATATGTGAGCAGGAAGGACCATCTGCACACAGAATCACAACCCACCAAGAATGTAAAATGCTCCCATGTCTACACGTGTGCGTGTGTGGAGTTTAGAGGGGTCTGACCCACCCCTGTGTGCCGGAGTCTGGCGTGAGTTTAGGCACGTTCAGTAACAAGCGGTGACCTCAGTCCAGGCCAGCTGGATCGTATGTGCAGCCAGCCATTCTCAATGGCCCTGGGTGGGGAAATTGACACTCCCTTGCATCTCTGCATGAGCAGCAGCTGGGGACGCATCAGGGATGAGCAGAGTTGAGATCCCCAAACACTCACAACCCCTGCTGTCTGTAAGATCCCTCCCCAGGACAAAGCCTTCAAGATAAAGCTTGCCCTTGTGGAGGGGAGCAGGCTTGGGGCTGCAGATGCTGGGGTTCTACTTGCTCTCAGAAGCCCCCTCTTCCCTAGCAAAGCAGCCAGGCTGAGAGAGCAGGACTTCTGTTCCCTGGGACGGTCCTTGGACCTGTTCTGGGGGATGAGGTGGGTGTCTTCAAGGCCAGTCCAACACTCTGTGGAGAGCAGTGTCATTTTCCTCGGTTCCTCCCAAATTGCTGCCTCTCTCTATCTGTCCCGTCCCAGCCTGGCTTGTCTCAAAACCTCAAGGCTGCAATTCTTTCCGAGAAAGCCAGGAACAAAGCTGCCAGTTCCATTCCCCAAGGGGGGAGTTCCAACTCTCCCTCCTGGCTCCAGATGTAAAGGAACAGCTGTGGGGTGGCAGGAAGCCCAGTTGGCAGCTAAGCAGGATCTGGGAAGATGGAGAACGAAGGCGGGAGAGACAGGCAAACGGCAGGATTGTTACGATTCTAAAGACCTAGGAAAGAAACCGTTTCATCTCCTGGCCCGACAACTGGCTGATAGGCCTGGCCAAATCCCTTTGATGCTGCCCTCCAGGACTGCCCACCCCATCCTGGCAGCCTGAGCTGCTGGCAAGACCTTTCATAAACTCCATTTTCTGGTTCCCAGTTAATCTGAGAAGGGAAACTTGGCTTTCTTTGTCTGACTCCACCCCTGTCCTTAAAACACATACCTCCCAAGCATGAGATTTGGGTAACTGAAGAATGGTGTGGGAGAGAGGAAGGAAGGTGGGAGAGGGCTCTGCCACTCCCATCTGGCATTCTCCAGCCCCTCCCTCCCCAGGGCAGTAAACCAGGATGCAGGGTGCCAGGCTGGGTGTCTGCAGACAGGGCTGCTGTGAGCACCACCTCACTCTCACGCTATGCCAGGGTGGTAATGCATGACTGGGCACTCAACACTGGACTCAATAAGTAATTATTCCCTGAGTGACCGTGCCCTGCTCTGATCTAACAAGACTGCCCAGTGCCACACCCTGCCCCATGCCTTCTCCAACCTGAAAGGACACTGGAAATCACAACTGCTTCCGTTTTAGGAAAAATAGTTTAATGGTAGGTTTGTAACCTCTTTTCTAGATGAGGTTCCATTCTCGGTGGAACCCCCACACCACTGCTCTTCCCATGCCTGCTGGGAGGTAGCAGCCCCTCTCTGGAGGGCACCCACCCATTCCCGATGCCCCTGCCCTCCTGGGAGGCAGGTGCTGGGTCTAGGCCTTGATGGGGCCATCAGCTGTAGGTTTTTACAAAAAGTGGGCAGAATACTCTACTGGCCTCTTTCCTGGATGCATGGGACCAGCCCACAGCACCTTCCTACCCCTTAATTAAATAGCCCATTAAATAATCTCTTGGTGCTGGCAGAGAGGGGGTTCCACAGCAACAAGCCCCCTGCCCTGGCGGGGCTCCCGTGGCCCCAGCACCCCCAACCTGACTGGATCTCGGCTCCATAAGAACAGCCAGGGGCATGGCCTCATCTCAGACCTGGCCAGGCCCGGGACTCCCTCCCCAAGAGGGGGTGAGTCCAAGTGGGTCATACTGGCACCAGGCATCTCCACAGCCACACATGGGGGTCACCCAGGCAGCAGAGTAGGCAACCGACAGGCTACAGCTCTCGCCCAGGTCAGAAGGACGTGAGGTTCTTGACGGCTCCCATCTCCAGCATCCGCTTAATGGCCAGCGCCTCTTGGGAGACGTTATGGCCTGACCCCTGTGGAGACAGCCAAGGAAATCAACTGAGGGACCCCCAGGGACCTCTCTGTTTCCAGGAAAGTCTCCCTGCCCCTCCCCGTGACTCCACACTTCTTGGGAGCTCCCCTCCCCAGGCTGGCTCTTGGAAGGAAGACAAAACGCGTGCGGCTGAACGTGGAGGATGCTGGCTGGGGAGTCCAGATGCCTCGGTCCTAGTTCTGACTCCAGGAGCCACCGCTGGGTCTCGGCACTGCTCCCACTCACCCAGCATCCCTCTGACTGTCTGGTCCCTAGGCCCATCCACCCCCTGCCCCACCATGATCACAAGCCAGGCACTTACCGCCATGGACTTGAGCGTGATCTGCTCATAGTAGTGAATGGTCTGCTTCTTGTTGTAGGCATCTGGGTAGCCGAAGCCAGCAATGTGCACCAAGTCACAGAGGTGGAGGGCCAGCGTGATGGCCAACAGGCCTGTGGTGGGCTTCTGAGGAACAGGGGCAGGAGGGTGTTAGAGGAAGCCCTGCTCCTCCCACCGTCATCTCTGCCAGCGCTCTGCAGTGGAACTTTCTACAGTCATGGAAACGTTTCCCATCTGCGCTGTCCAACAAGACAAGCCACGAGCTAACGAGCACACAAAAGGGGCCAGTGCAGCTGAGGAAATTAATTTTTTATTTTATTAAATTTTAATTCATTACATTGTAAATTTAAGTCGCCACATGTGCTGGGTGCAGTGGTGCATGTGTTCCAGCCATGCAGGAGGCTGAGGTTGGAGGACTGCTTGAGCCCAGGAGTTCTGGGCTATCATGCACTAGGAATGCAGCTGTGAAGAGCTGCTGCATTCCAGCTTGGGCAACATAGTGAGACCTCATCTCTAAAAATCAAATATAAATAAGTAAATCAATAAATAGCCACATGTGGCTAGTGGCTGCCATTCTGGATGGTACAGCTCTGGGGCCTCTAGAGATAAGAACAACAATCAGAATGCCAATCATCATTACATCAGTTACTTTTTAAATGCTTACATGTGCCAGACACCATGTTCAGTATTTTACCTATAAAACATTATCTCATCCAGTCTAGCAAAAAACACCTGGAGGTAGATATTATTGTTAGCCCTATTTTACAGATGAGAAAACTGAGGCCTACAAAAGCACTAAGCAACTCCTTCAAAAGAAGGGAAGCGTTCTGTTCTCCTCCTTGGAGAACCTGACCTTGTTCAGAAGACCTGGGGGCTTGACATGCACTAGCTGTGGGATCCTTTATGGGGGTGGTGCTCTCTTTATTTTTTTATACAGATAGGTTTTTACCATGCTGCCTAGGCTGATCTCAAACTCCTAGGCTCAGGCAATCTGCCCACCTCGGCCTCCCAAGGTGCTGGGATTACAGGCATGAGCCACCGCACCTGGCCTCTCCTCTTTAAAGCAGTACCTTTCCCATCTACCTTACTGGCTGCTCTGAGGACCTGGCTTGCTCCGTAATTCATCTGCAGTGATGGGCAGCCTGAGAGTCTCACTTCTCCCACTTCGCCTTCCTCAGTTCCAGCAACCTGCTTTGCACACAACTTCAGCTGCCCACACCCATTTGGGAGCCATTCCTGGAGCTCATCAGGCCCGTCGACACGCCAGCTTCCTCCCTCTCTAAGCTCTCCTGTCTTCTCATCTTCCACTCCCTGCCTGGGCCTTCTTTTTCATCCTTGCTGCTTTCACCACCAGTGTGTTCTCTCATTCGGTTGGGCTGAGCCACACTTCCATGGCCTTCTAGCCATCTCTGCCTGGACACAGGCTCCTTACACTCACCAAATCCTTCCTCTTCCTCATACTCCCTGTATTAAACATGGTTGTTTTTTGTTTTGTTTTGTTTTTTTGAGACAGAGTTTTGCTCTTGTTGCCCAAGCTAGAGTGCAACGGCCCAATCTTGGCTCACTATAACCTCTGCCTCCTGGGTTCAAGTGATTCTCCTGCCTTAGCCTCCTGAACAGCTGAGATTACAGGCATGTACCAATTAATTTCGTATTTTTTTTAGTAGAGATGAGGTTTCTCCATGTTGGTCAGGCTGGTCTTGAACTCCCAACCTCAGGTGACCCGCCCGCCTCAGCCTCCCAAAATGCCAGGATTACAGCCATGCTGCACCCGGCCTTGTATTAAATGTTACCATCCCCCCTCAGCTGTCCAAGCTGGAAACCTAGAATTGGTCAGAAATCTCTCAGTTCCACCTGTAAAATATGTAAGGCAGAATTGTAAGAGAACCCCAATGACCCTGCCCCTCATGTAATCTCATCCCTTGCGCGTGTGTGGGGAACGTGTGAATATGATGCGATTACGTTACGTTACTTTATATGGCACAGTTGAACAGAAGAGGAGAGGCTGTCCTGCTGGGCTTGACCTAATTACCTGAACCTTTAAATCCAGGTGTCAAGATCAGAAACGGAGGCGGTCAGAGATTTGAAGCACAAAAAGGATCTATCATGCCATCACTGGCTTGAACATGGAGGCTGTACAGCAAGAAATGTGGGCCACCTCCAGGAGCTCAGGGTGGCCCCTGACCTCCAGCTCACAGCCAGCAAGGAAATGGGGCTTCAGGTCTACAATCACAGTAACCAAATTATTTCAACAACAAGAATGTGCCAGGAAGCAAAAATTTCCCCCACCCTTCCAGATGAGAACTGTTTGGTTGACAAACTGAGTTCAGTCTTGTGACAATCAAAACAGAGAACCAGCCACACCATGCTGTTCTGATCTACAGGACTATGAGCCAGTACACGGGTATTGTTTTAGGCAGCTAAGCTTCTGGTATTAGTTAGGAAGCAATAGAAAACTACTATAGGCTGGGTGTGGTGGCTCACACCTGTAATCCCAGCACTTTGGGAGGCTGAGGAGGGCGGATCACCTGAGGTCAGGAGTTTGAGACCAGCCTGGCCAACATGGCGAAACCCCATGTCTACTAAAAATACAAAATTTAGCCAGGTGTGGTGGTGCATGCCTGTAATTCCAGCTACTTGGGAGGCTGAGGCAGGAGAATTGCTTGAACCTAGGAGGCGGAGGTTGCAGTAAGCCAAGATCACCCCACTGCACTCCAGCCTGGGCAACAGAGACTTGGTCTCAAAAAAAGAAAAGAAAACAATACAATGTTGAGTCCATCTCCTCCTTTTCCCTTCCGATCGCCGGGAGCTGGGTTCAGATCCTCGCCCTCTCTCACCTCCCTCTCCAGCCTCCTTTCCATCTGTAACCCCATACATGGCACAAAACGCCCCCTTGTTGCCCTTCAACTCCACTTGCACTGGAACAGTTCAGTGCTGGAGGAGCCGCCTGCTCTGGCCAAACGGAATGCCTTTCCCCAGCTCTCTGCCTGATCCTCCCAGGCTGGGCTCCAGCACCACCTCCTCCAAGGAGCCTCCCAGACATCTCTCAGCAGGCGTCCGCCCCTCCTCTGAGATTCCACAGCATTGGGAACAACTCTCTATTGTGGAATTTTATCACCCCACAGTGTAACCTGCATTCTTACTCTGCTAGACTGAGGTCCCTTAGGGGAAGGAGCACAACTTCCTCTCCAAGCATGGAGACTTGGGGCCTGGCATTGAGCAGTCACAAAAGTACCCTCCTGTTATTCAAACAGGAGATGTTCAGTAAACAATAAAATCACTTATTCAAATCTGGCAAATATTTAAAGAGCGGGCACTGTGTACCAGTCTCCAGAATAGGTATTTTATACATCGTTATTATTTTTTAAAATCCTATAATGGCCTTAAAAGGTCATTATGGATATTATCCCATCATACAGGTAAGAAAACCAAGGTTCTGAGCAGTTGATCTGCCAAGACCCACACTACACAATGCAGCTGGGCGCGCCCTACCTGTGTCTGCTGGTACCTGTCTCTCACCAGCCCACACGGCCTCCCCAAGAGGCTCCGAGAAATGGGTGGAAGTACTTGGGAAGCTATAAAGTGGGTGAAAGCCTACCAGCTGAAGACTACCAGGGCACTGCAAGCAAAATCATAACTTGCTATGGCTCAAGGATATCAGGTTAAAAAGAAGAAACACTAACTTGTGGTCAGACACAGTGGCTTACACCTGTAATCCCAGCATTTTGGGAGGCCGAGACAGGAGGATCACTTGAGGCCAGTAGTTCAGGACCAGCCTGGCCAACACAGGGAGACCCCCATTGCTACAAAAAATTTAAAAATTAGCAGGCGTGATGGTGCATACGTGTAGTCTCAGCTACTCATGAGGCTGAGGCAGAAGGATCACCTGAGCCTGGAAGTTCGAGGTTACGGTGAGCTATGATTGCACCACTGCACCCCACCCTGGGTGACAGAGTGAGACCTTAGCTCTAAAACAAAACAAAAACCCCTAACTTGTAAACTGCATCGGCTTCCTGAATTGACACACCGTACCAAACCATGACATGCAAGAAGAGGCTGAAGTTCCAACTGTTTAATGCATTCAGACCAGTGTTTCAAGATAAGATCACAGATGAAGCATCTAACAGTAACTGCACGGCTCAAGTTGTTCCACAGATCAGACCAGAGTTGTCTGGCAACTCCCCAGTTGACAAATTCTGACCAGTGCCTGCCAAAACCATGCTCTCACTCCGGCTGCTAAACCCAATCCGGGCGGTCCCCATCCCTCCCTACTTAGTAGATGCCCCTTGCTTCTCCACAAAGTGTGCACTCCCCTTTGTGGCAGCGACTTTAATGACAGGTGTATTCCTGGAGGGAAAATGCATACTGCTGTCCCTTTTATGGGGTCCTTCCACAGCTTCCTAAGCCCATAGGAATGTCTCTCCCGCTTCCCGCCCGGGAACCTAGCCCTCAGCCCTGGCTTCCCATCATCACCTGCTTAATCTTGCGTGGCTGTTGCATTGGCAGGCTCAGCAGTTTGTCAGCTGCAATCTCCATGAAGAAGGGGTTGAGAATCCGAATCTGTTTAGGGTTGACATCCCAGATGAGGGGAGGCTGTTTCCAGAAACCCTTTCGCACCTAGGACGATGGGGTGAGAAGGGAGAGACAGAGGCGGGTGAAGCCCTATTTCTCAAATCCAACCCAGTAGTCCTCGGCCAGGCGAGGGGGTCCAAGTGATGGCAGAGGTCTTCAGGAGCACAAGGTGAGAGGACAGGGACGTGGAGTCTGTGCCAGAGATGGGAGACCAGAAGAGGACCAGGAAAAGAGAGGAGGAAAGGCACCCCCTCGGGAGGCCAAGTAACCAGGTCTACAGAGCAGAGGGTCTAAACTCTGGAGCACTTCCAAGAACATCTAAACAGGTATAAGGGCCTAAAGTTTTAGCTGTCTAAACACTTGACAAAAATGCCAGATGGAACAGTTCAGCCTGTGACCAGATGGCAAAGTGATGTAGTGAATGAACTCTTTCTGGGGATCGTCTGTTAGGACACAGACCACCCTGCTCTAACCTGCCCCCCGCCTGTAGATGGCTGCTGGAGGGTTCCTCAGCTCTGAAGTTCCTCACAGGCAAACACCTCCTTGGGCAGCTTTCCTGTTGCAGATGGCCCTGGAGTGTGCGTGCCTTTGGCTGCTGCCACCTGATGCCTGCAGGCTTTTGTGCCCAGTTGCTGGGGCGGCTTATGGGAACACTGCCCTTGGAGGGCAGCCTAAGGCGCTGACCGCCAGGAGCCCAGTTCATGCTGTCCCCACACTGGCTCTTTAGAACTGCCAGGTAGACATCAAAGAGCATGAGGTCCTGACTCGGGCAGCATCCCCACCCCTGAACCTCAGCCCTCACCCTGTCCTCCCACTTACCCGCTTCTTATCGCTGAGGATGGTCTCAATCCAGTGGAAGTCCATTGCTTTGAAAGCTACCAGGACGAGGAGTGTGTCCGGGTTGTTTTCTACTTTGGGGTCGAAGTGGGCAGATTCAGGGTAGAAGAGACGCATGGTGGTCTTGGAGCCCACATCACCCTCATAGCCAGCCACTGGGGCATTGTTCAATCTGGGGGTGGGGGAAGGATTCATCACTAGAGGCCTCTGGGCCTGTCTACAGTCCCTGGCTTGGACATCCAGTTCCCAAACAGAAGTAGGAAGAGACAGTCACACACACCTGATGACCACATCGTACTTGTTGATGGCATCTCCCAGCGAGCTGTTCCGCAGCCGGTGCCCGTTCCCCACGACCACACAGCGGCGGCACCTGAGGCTGCCGTAGGAATAGGAGTGTCAAGACCAGAAGTCACCCTGCTCCACCCCACGCTCGCTGCTCTGCATCTGCCTGGGCCCGTCTCAAGACCACTTCCTAGGCCCCCTCAACCCCTAGTCCCCGTGGAGCAGGCATCACCCCGTGGTCCCATTTACAGTCATGCTGACTCTACAGCCCTGGGCTTTAAAAGAGGAGGAGACTGTGAAGAGCACAGGAGAGGGCAGAGGAGTGGATGGAAGGCATGGGGGTGTATCAGTGAGAAACTCCAGCTTCACTGTTGCAATACCCTCAAGCAGCCTCTGTCCGCTCTGCACCCAGATGCCCAGGCTAGGCTACCATGGGAATTGGCTGGGATGGTGCCAGGCCATGACTGTTTCACACGGGGGCAGGAAAGAGGGGAAGGTGCTCAGGCTGGAGTTGGGGGAGTGCTGCCTTACCTCTGGATGCTCTCAGGGATGGAGTAGCTGGTGATGGCTAGCACCCGGAGGAGCAGGTCCTCTACGAAAAGAGCCGGGTGGAGGGACTGAGGCAACAGCTAGCATTCTGAAGGCTGCCTGCCCTCCCTTCACTGCTCCTCAGAGCCCTGGCTGCCTTCTTCTTCCCCTGGCCCTGGTAGCCGAGCTGGGCTCAGAACTTGGGCACTGGGGCCATGGACAGCAGAGAACAGGAAGCCCCATGGCCAGGACGAACCCATGGTTCCCACAGAGCCGGGTGGGAACTTACCGCTCCCCTTGGTCCCATAGGGCAGCTCGTAGGCAGATGGTGTCTTGACCCAGAAATAATCCTTAAGCTGCAGGAAGATGGGCTGATCCCGGGAATAGCTGCGCAGAGGTGAAAGCAGGGTGGGGATGAGAACGGAATTAATCTTGATGCCAGAAGCAGGGTCAGGCCCATGACTGCTATTATATGGCCTTCTCTTCCCTCCCTGGCCTCACCTAACCACGTCCACCAACACGGCTGCTCCTTCCGTCTACTCCCCACGTTGTGAACCCCTCAATCCCAGCTCGCTCCATGCCCTGCTCTACCCGCCTCATCCTTGAGTACTTACTTGCCAAAGAGCTTAGAGGCCTTCCTCTCTGCCTCACCCTGGAGGCATGGCTCCTTCTTCTCTGGGATGGGAAAATAAAAACTGGAGAGAAAAAGGACAGGAGGCAGGAGCCGCAGTCAGACCCAGGGGCCCATGTTCCAGGCAGCCTAAGCTTTCTCTCATGGCATGAAGGTCCCAAGGTGCCAGGGAGGAATCATCTCAAGTTAAGCTCCACTTGGAACCCGAGTCCTTGAGGATCCAGGTCTTCCTGCCCCTGCACTCCCTGGGTGAGGGCCCAGTGAGTCATCCCATGCCCTACCCCCATCCACCCTCATGGAAACACTCCATACCAGCAGCTGAAGGGATGAGGTCATGCACTGGCTCTTGGAACCTTCCTGCCCTACTAGGTCCCCTGCTCCGTGATGCTCCATGCTCCATGCCTAAGCCCTGTCCCTCACAAGAACCAATGGAAGAACATGGAAGGTGAACTCACAGCTCAATGTACCTGTCTTCCCGGGAGATGGAATACCACACCATGACAACCAGGACCAGAGCCAACATGGCCAGGAGCTTCCAGCCTGCAGGACACATGCACAGAGGAGCTAGAGGCCGAAACGGGCAGGTACAGCCCCAGTCTACCTTCTCACCTGCCCGCTTCTGAGCCCCTCCGACCCCTAATCCAGGAGCATTTTCTGGCCTTCTCCTGGCCCTGGCTGAGGGCTTGACCCTAATTGTGCCTACTGTCCTTGAAGACGAAGAGAGGGACCCCTGGCTGTCTGTCCCCCCACAGCCCCCAGAGGTCCCAGGATGCTGCTGCAGATGGCTTCTGGAGGCCTGTCCCCCAGGGTGGAGGAGCCCTCAGATCACACTCACGGGACTTGCTGATCATGTTTCTCAGCAGGCAGCAGGGTTCCTGGGGAGAGCTGTCATCCCGGCTGCCTCGGGCCACCTAGGAGATAGGAGTCACAGGTGTCTGTCTGGTCGGCTTCACAAACTCTCCTGCCTAGACACCAGAGCAGGACACACCCACTATCTGCCCCTCCCTTCCTCCAGAAAGCACGAAGCTGCTGCCTGGGGCAGTCATCCTGAAAGTGACCTTTCTCTCCCAGGATTCCTCATAACTCTTCCAAGGGCAGCATCAGAGATCCAGGTGAGTCCTGCCACGGAAGGGAAAACCGAGGTTCCGGCCCTCACAGACTCGGTCCCAAGCCAGGCTGGCCTACTCCAGCCTCTCCAGTGTGGTTCTTCTCACCGTCCCCTTCTGCATTTTGACCCACGAAGGGCCAGCTCCAAGAGGCAGATAGCTACCCAACCCGCTGCTGACATGAAAGATAAGCCAACTAACTGTGCGAGGGCTTGAGTCCTATTTTACCCAACTGAGGTCACCTATTCTCCGCCATCCGAGGCATCCCTTGGTCTGGCCACCGTCTGCCTCTCCACGATCCATCTGCAGCCAAACAGGTCTGCTCAGGCCAGAGGCTAGGAGTGAGGGTGGGGCTACGACATGGTCCTCATGAGGCCTCCTTGATTCCTTCTAGACCCTGACCAAATGCAAACGGTGCTCAAACCTCCCCACCCAGCCATGGAGTAAGCGCAGGGAGAGAAGGTGCTTGAATGGGGAGCATGGGGAGCTGGGAGTGTCAAGAGAGCTGGTCAAAGAAGAGTCAGGAGATGCTTCCAACAAAGACAGCAAGGTGAGGACTGTGCATGGGAAGGGGTGAGCTGCTGTTCACCCCACACACAAGCAGAGGCTTCCTCACAGGCAACAGCTCAGCCAGGGCCACGCCGCGGAATCCTTGCAGAAGAAATTTCCGTGGCTTCCACAGTCATGCAAAGAGGCACCAGATGCCAAGTGCCAGTTTCTTCCATCCATGCCATGCTTCCTGATGGTCTGGATTGGAAGAGTCACTTTGACCACTTCCTAAAAATATTCCAGGGCCCTTCCCTGGAGACCGCCTTGGTCAGCCTGAGTATGGCCTGGGACAGGCATTTTCAGAAACAGCCCAGGGGATTCTGATGGTCGATCAGGAAAGGGAGGTAGGCACTAGCATTTGTGCACCAATGGAAACCTTCCATTTTTTCACAGGGGCTGGGGACAGCATCCGGATGAAGCCTGGTCCATTTTATAAACCATTAACCAGTGATCCTGAGCCCTGTCCCATGGTGGAGTCAACATCCTGCTCCCCAGCAGGCTCATTCCCAGGCTCCACTCTGAGCACATAAGCACTGAAGAATCAGTCTTAAGTCAGAGGAGACAGCCAGGCAGGGACCAGGGTCAGACTCCCTCAGTAGAGTCAGAAACACCATCCCCAGACCCCAGAGGGGATGAAGCCTGGCCCTGTCCAGGAAAGAAAAGTAACCAGGTTGTAATCAGCAGAAGTTCTCAATTAAAGGTGTTATCCTAGAAACACCCCCAACAGCTCTTCTGAAAGGGGCAATGCCTTCCCTACCCTTCATCCCACAGCAATCTCTGAGTTATTCCCTACCACATGGCCCTCCTCGGCTTCATAGCTTTTCCCATCTGTAATCAGCTTAGTTACTTACTTGTTTGCTTTCTGTCTGACTCCCCAACGGGGATCTAAGCTCTGTGCGGGTTGGAATTGGATCTGTCCCATTTGCAGGTCTAGTCCCACATCGAGCACACTGCTTGGCACACGGTAGAGTACCTCAGAAAGTACTGAATGTACAGCATGCTGGTTACAGCATAGATGATCATCCCTCCTTCTCTGACCTGCAGTTTCGTCGCTGTCAAACTGAGAAATCAGCCTATTCCCACTGCTCAAAAAAGGTCAGATCAGCTCCATGGGCATCCCACAGCCCTTCTTAGACAAGCGGATTCTCTGGCTCCCTTCCAGACCCTTAAAATCAGAATCTGCATTTGAACACGATACCCTGGCAATTCATATATACATTCAAGTATGAGAAGCACTGGTCAAGCCTGATGTTCTTGATTATGGCTGAAGAGGAGACTCACCCGAAGTACTTATCCAAAAAAAAATTTTTTTTTTAATGAGTATCTAGGTCCCACACACAGGAATTCTGGGCTGATTCATCTAGCCCAGCACTAGAATTCGCTGAAGTCCCCTGGGTGATTATAATGTGCAGCCAAGGTTGAAAACCACTGGTCTGGATGATCTGTGGGTGATGTGAAGCGCACTTCTCAAACCTTGATGTGCACATTGTGACTCAGAGGGTGCCAGAGCGCGGGTGGGGATCTGCATTCCAACCAGCTTCGTGGTTAGCATGGGGCCTGCTGCATGGCTGGGACTACTCTGAGTTGCAGAGCTCAGAACCAGGATGCCTCCAGCTCTAACATTTCAGGATCTTAGGAAGTGCAGCCTCTCTCACCCTCCCTGCTTCCTCTCTCCATCTCCCTGAAGTTTCATCCCCCTTTGTATTCATAGGTCACAGCATTGGCTGTACAATGAAGTGACCTGAGGAGCTTAAAAACATTCAGCCAGTCTAGGATCCACTCTCCAAGATGTTTATTTAATTGGTTAGGGCTGGGGCGCAGGCATGAATAGTGAATAACAAAACAAACCACCTCCTCTGTGATTCTAAAATGCAGGCTGGGTGGGAAACACCATTTCACCTCAAGCGAAAGACAAATACTCAGGCACCCTCCAGGCCTGTCCTCCAGGAAAAAGACCTTTGGCTTTGTGGTGAGCAGCACTAACCAGTCCTGAACAGCAAAACAGTTAGCCTTTCTTTTACCTCTTCCCCAGTAAAGTTCTACATTGCCTGGTCTTCATTCCAAAACTGCACCAAGCAGACTGGGCGAGTCTTAGGGCTTGCTCCACTATACCCAGTCAGGGATTTAACCCCCTCCCCTGTGGGCCCAAGGGAGAGGATTGCTCAGTGGCCCCAGGCATGCCAGGGCTCCCAGGGCGGACTACTGCCTCAGGAAAACGTGGCACCTTCTCCCAGCAGCTACCCCACATTGCTGGTCTAGCTCTGGGCATAAAGGGCAGGAGAAAAGCCAGAGTAGAGTACCTGGGTGGGAAAGCAGGCATCGAATCCACTCATGTCCAAGGGGACCAGCCTCTCACTAGGAGGGCAGCTCACCCAACCTGCTGGGCAAAGGTGCCCCCAGGGAGGAAGACCATCTGCTCTCTTGGTGCTCTGCTAGGGACCAAGGTGTCTCTGGCCTAAGGGAGCTGGTCAGTTCTACCACAGAACTTGCCCCAGGGCAGAACCTGGGGACAAGGTAAAGAAATAAGGCCCAGTGGAGGCAGAAACCATGCCTCCTGCTGCCCCAGCATTCCCAGCCTAACATACAGCGAGAACTCAGCAGGTACCCACCAAACCAAGAAGGGCACAGCTAGGTATGCCCCCAGGGGCACAGTATGGTACCCAGCCCCTCAGAGCCCCTGGACCCATAAAAATGATACGGTTTAATGTTCAGGGAAGGGATAGGGAAAGACCAGAGGGGCAGAAGCTTGGGGTTGACTTGCTGGTTCTGTGATCTTAAGCGATCACTTACTCTCACTGTCCTCAGTTGTTTTTTTTTTTTTTTTTTTTTTTTTTCCCAGACAGAGTCTTGCTCTGTCACCCAGGCTGGAGTGCAGCGGTGCCATCAGCTCACAGCAACCTCTGCCTCCTGGGTTCAAGCGATCCTTATTCCTCAGCCTTCTGAGTACCTGGGACTACAGGCATGCGCCACAACACCCAGCTAAGTTTTGTATTTTTAGTAGAGATGGGGTTTCTCCATGTTGCCCAGGCTCTTCTCAAGCTCTTGGCCTCAAGCAATCCACTCACCTTGGCATCCTAAAGTGCTGGGATTATGGGCATGGGCCACCACAACTGGCCATCACTGTCCTCAGTTACCTAGGGAAAACCTCAAGTCCTGTCTGCCTGCTGTTTGCTACCTCTAGACTCTCCTACCTCCCCTCTTCCCCCAAATCCTTCACCAAGACACCAAAACCTCCTCACTTCCCCAGAATAGTTCGCAATCAATGACCCCTCTTTGCCCTGTGTCTCCCACCTCTTCCTCTTCCTTATCTATTCTCTGACTTATAAACATACTCAAGTCTCCCTCTTCCTAAGGAAACAACAAGCCTCTCTCTGTTCTATCTCCTCTTCAAGCTCTCCCTGCATTTCCCTCATTCCCCTCCAGTGATCAAACTTCTTCACCTGTACTACACCCTCACTTCCCACTCTATCCCCCGCCACTATGCCACTCCCTCCACCCTTGTTTTTATTCTGAAATTGCTGTTGATGAGGCCAGTGACTGTCTAACTGCCAAACCTAAGAAAGGTCTATTGTCAGTCTTTACTGTGCTAAGAGGCCTTTGATGCTGCTGGCCCTGCCTCCTCCTTGGCTTCTAGGTCAAGGTCAAGAAGGAACTGAATACAATGTAGGCACATTCCTTGCTGCTTTATAACCCTCCAGGTTCCTCCTTCTTCTGAGACAGGAGGCTCTGCTGCTGGGACCTACCCTTTTTTTTTTGAGAGGCAGTCCCCCTCTGTCACCCAGGCTAGAGTGCAGTGACACGATCCCACTGCAACCTCTGCCTTGCAGGTTCAAGCGATTCTTGTGCCTCCCAAGTAGCTGAAATACAGGTACCCACCGCCCTGCCTGGCTAATTTTTGGATTTTTAGTAGAGATTTTAGTAGAGGGTTTCACCATGTTGGCCAAGCTAGTCTTGAACTCCTGACCTCAAGTGATCTGCCTACCTCAGCCTCCCAAAGTGCTGGGATTACAGGCGTAAGACACCGAGGGCCCACCCTTTAAATTCTGGTATTTTCCGGGAAGCTGTCCTTGAACCTCTGCCTCTCCCCACCACACATTTTCATCAGACAAGTTGACTTGTTTTCAGAGGTTTAACTACTATTCATACACTGATGGTTCAAGCTCTGTATTTTCAGTGCTAATTTCTCTTCCACATCCCATCCTAATATTTCCCATTTTCTAGCTGGATGATCTTAAATTCCTCAAGTGGAAGAAGAT